GAGCCGAGGAGCGAGGCAGAACCGAGCTGAGGAGGACAGTCGAGCTAGGAGCTACCGCGGAGCTGAGGACAGTCGAGCTAGGAGCTGCCGCGGAGCTGAGGACAGTCGAGCTAGGAGCTGCCGCGGAGCTGAGGGCTGCGCGACCGCCTCTACCTCCATTAGTAGCAGAACGACCCGAGGGGTCGTTCCCTCCCAGTCTCGGCCGTACAAAACAGAAGGGTCCAGCAAGGATTTTACATACGTAATGACATTGGCGCTTAATGCTGACAATTGACATCTAAACTTTCAGTTATTTAAAAATTTAGGTCTTTGATGGCGGAAGCCTCTTACACATAGTCCATAGAACAATCGGATTTTTTTTTTTTTGGGGGGGGGAGATAACTTTTCATCTTTTTCACACCTTTTCTTTTACTCTCCTTATCTTGATCCCCTCCCTCCTCTTTTAGACCTTTCTGCATACAAATACACCACTTGGTCTTCCCTATTCGAATTTGGTCCGTTGGCGTGGTAAGATGGATACAATTATATATGAATACACAAACTGCGCTTCAATGCTTCGCTTCTTTTACCACAATGATCACAATCGCATTCCATCAGGCCTATTCTCCCCTCACCCTCGCCCCGCCCCCTCCCCGACCGTCACTCTCCCTCTCCGCAGCCGAGTCTGTACCTACAGGCCGGTCCTGTCCGTGACGCCCCGTGACGCCGAAAACGCCACTACCGTGACGCCGGGGACGGGCGGCGCGTTTCTTTTCGTGACCCGTCCAATAATAGCCGATCGCGCGCGCCTGGGCTCGCCGCCGCCGCGCCCGGTGCAGGCGCACAGCGAAAGCGCGCGCTCTATGGGCGGCTCTGGACGGCATCAGGCTGCGCTACCCTTTCCCAGGGCTCTTCTCGGAAAGATGGTGTGCTTTGTAACGGGCTATTGTCCACCTGCTTTGTTTGGTGGGTGAAGGGGATGTGGTACTTGGATACTATTTACCATTAATTGTTTGAAATTGAAGGGAGAACCACGGGTTATGAAATGTTCCCGAAATCAGACGCTGTCGTTGTGTGTTACTGGCGCTTGTTCTCTGCTAGGTGCTGCTTATTATGTTACCCAACGCCTAACACAAATGAGGAAGTGACGGCCCACCCACAGGCGTCTGTATTGTTAGTGTGCGGCGCAACTGTGCACTTATCACTGGGTAACTGTGTACCTACTGTGTTGTTACAATGACGTGAGCGTTACAGCTGCAAGTCTTTGTAAGAAGAAAATGCCTGAGCCGGATTAGGTGGTGGGTGTTATGTTGTAGGGACGCGATGCAGTCTTTGGTGTTACGTGCTACTGTTCTATCGCAGTCTCCCGGGCCTGAGCGTGTAGCGGGAGAGCTGTTCGCTGTCTGATGCCCATACATAGTACAGCAGTCTTAGGCACATCATCTGCCTGCCTAGTGCCTACCCGCCTGTCTGTTTATCTGCCTGTTTATGTCTACTTTTCTGCCTGTCTGCCTGCCTCTTCTCACACCCCCGCTTCCCTTTATATGTTTTTTTCTTTAACGTATTCTCTGAGGTTTTTATTCTCACTTTGTACCCGCTTTTTCTCGTGTTTTCTGTGCGACACGTGTCATAAACGGGCACACATAAAATCCCAGATGTGTTTCTCCTGCAGTTGACTGCCGAAATCTTATGCATTTCTACACTGCAGAGCGGTGTCTTATCGGGCCGCATTCAGGGCGTCACTGCCCTGTAGCAGGTGTGTAGTTGGACAGTCGGACACTGTCTGTGTATCATCCCGGGCACCTGGCGTCACTGCCCTGTAGTAGATGTGTAGCTGGACAGCTATCTGTGTATCATCCCGGGCACCTGGCGTCACTGCCCTGTAGTAGATGTGTAGCTGGACAGCTATCTGTGTATCATCCCGGGCACCTGGCGTCACTGCCCTGTAGTAGATGTGTAGCTGGACAGCTATCTGTGTATCATCCCGGGCACCTGGCGTCACTGCCCTGTAGTAGATGTGTAGCTGGACAGCTATCTGTGTATCATCCCGGGCAGCTGCGTGACCTGCGTCACTGCCCTGTAGTAGGTGTGTAGTTGGACAGTCGGACACTGTCTGTGATCTGTATCGTAACGCTTCCCCTCCGTAACGCCATCAGATGATCTCTTCATCAGACCCAACCTCCGCCGCCTGCCTCAGGTGCTATGCAAAAAAAAAAAACGGAGACATTGGCATTAGATACAACCACGCGGAGCGCTCACATAGCGACATTGGCGTGATCGTAAATGGGGGCTCTTGGCCAGTACAAAGTACGTGCTTATTGGAGCGTCTCTAAGACCTGCACCGGGGCGACCATTTATCAATCTTCGCTAACGGCAGCGAAACAATGCAGGCTGGGCCGCGACAATGGCGGCGGCTCAGCCGGCTGCGCGGCATTGTTTGGCGGTGTTCGTGTCTGCGATATACCTCCGGAAGGTCAGGGTCAGCTGGCTGACCCTGGGCGGCGCGCAGTATGACCCTGACCCCCTCCCCGGCGGCCGGTGACCCCAGGCGGCGTGCAGTGTGACCCTGACCCCCTCCCCGGCGGCCAGTGACCCCGGGCGGCGCGCAGTGTGACCCTGACCTCCCTCCCCTGACCCCGCGACCCTACCGACCTCGGCAGCGGGGACGGAGGCGGTATAGGGGTCTCGAAACCGGGCTAGAACGGACAGCGGGGAGGCGAGGACAGGCCTGAGTTATTTCTGAGAGACGGCAGAGGCGACAGTCACCTCTGAACAAGAACAGTTCCCCACCTGTCACATTCAATATCCCTCTAGGCTCTATCACAGAGAGCAAGTATCTATCACTCAAACATCCCTGTGCTACCCTCTCACTCCCAGTTCGTCTTTCACAGTCAGTCGTCTGTCCTGTCGCCAGCAGTTCCCCTGTCCAGTACCCCGTGACGGTCCTTCCCTGCCAACCGGGACGCCGCCGCGCCGGTGACCCAGTATCGAGCTTATGTGCAGCGCAGGCGGCGGCCGACGCGCCGTGCGATGCCCCCGTGCGTCACTGCTCGCAGCCGTGCGCCACATTTCGTCATCCTGCGCTGGACGTCGCCGCTGTGTCTCCGCAGTGAACTCTGGCAGATTCGAGATATTGATTATCGTAGCACTCTTCTGTGAAGGCAACCGCACTGCCAGGGAAAAATACGCAGCACATGAAAAGGATTGGTGCTGGTATTAGGCCGGTAATCAGTTGGCATGTTTTGATATCCTTCCCTGTGGTAAATGCTGCCATTCTCTTTCTCCCTCCCTCTCTCTCTCTCTCTCTCTCTCTCTCTCTCTCTCTCTCTCTCTCTCTCTCTCTCTCTTTCTCTCTCTCTCTCTCTCTCTCTCTCCCGTCGGACCCACTGAGCCGGATCTCGCACGTGGTCCGTATTGAAACCAGGCGAGGCCCGCGGATATGAACACGGCTGCAGCCGCGGTGGGCGGTGGACAGTAAGCTGTGGACGGTGGACGGTTGGTGGTGGACGGTGGACGGTGGACGGTGGACGGTGGACGGTTGGTGGGGGGGGGGGGGACGGTAGAAGTAGGTAACTTGAGCCGTACATTTCACCCGAAGTCCAGTGTGTTCTACAGCAACATACCGAGAATCGGGAAGATGTCCCTGCTTATTTCAGACATGACCACTGAACTGCGACCAGCGTTCCCATATTCCGCGCTGGCTTTTCTCACACGCCAGGCCCGAGTCTGTTATTCCACGAAACGACGCTAGCTCAAAATCGGCGCCGTTTCGGCGTTATTACCGTGTAGCGCAGCCTGCTTTCCACTGGGTCTGTGTCGCAGCTCTGTGCGGCGCGGCAGCGGGCCGCGGTCCTGGCCCGCTGCCAACCCCGCACTGGGTCAGCGCTGAGGACGGCGCGCAAGGTCACTGGAGGTCAGTGTCCGCCCGACCACCTGTCTGCGAGAGCAGCGGCTGCCGACACGCGAGAGATCAGCGTCTGTCGGAGGGGTTCTCGCTCAGAGCATCACAGGCAGCTTGCTGGACATTGGTGCAGTGCTCTGCATGGAGGTTCTCTGGTAAGAAAAGGTTCCTGTGTCTCTTGACGACCTATCGAGGACCACGGGTAACCGAAAGGAAAAGTAGGCCGACCGGCCATCGCGCTCGTGGCCGGTGGGGCTTTATCGGTGAGCGCGGCTTCCTCCGTTAGCACCGCTACTCCGGAGCCTGTCCTATAGGCGAGCCTGTGCAGAGGCTCGCCTGCAACCACGGTGTACACTGTACATACACTGTATATTGCATATCCTGTCCGTCCTAGCGGTCAAACAGTGGACGACGACGACGACAATACTTCGAAACGGAGCAGCCAGAGCAGTGTTGGCAAATGCTTTACTTTCCCCATCGAAGTGAATCGAGTAAATAATTAGAGAAACATTCAGGGAAACGTTCATTTTTTCTTTGCTTTCTTGGGTTATGCCATTTAGATGTAGGAATCAAAGGATAAGATGGGACATTGAGCTGATTCGACCACCCAATGGTGCACCGCGGCAGCTGAGACCAGCCCGCTCTGGACAGGCGCGCCTCGGTGAAACAGATCACCCAGGCGCTTAGGTGGTGCTCTCGGAGGGCTAGCTGAGCACGTAGTCCTAACCGAACACAAAAGGACCCTTTAGTTTGGGGTGCCGGCTGAACTAAAACAAGTGTGATCAATCATGAAGGTACGCTAATTGTCACGATAAAAAAGGACGGATGGAATAAGAAGTTCGCTGCATGTGTAATGTGCATGGCCTTGTAAGTACCTAAGCATCACAGATGAAAACAGACAAACCACTATCGGCTGCGGAAAATCTCCAAGGCACGGGAGAAAACCCATCGTCCCACGTCTCAGCTATGCCGGCCGGGGATCATCACAGAGAGTGCCGTGCAGAACTCGTTTGTCACCGCCAGTAGTAGAGGTCTGTCCGGTTCCTGTAGAAAAGGAGAGGCGTCCGGCGGGTGGGTCGGGCTCCAAACACATTTCCCCGCGGACCGCCGCTGGTCTTACCTGTAAGACGGCATCTCGCCGACCTGGTGTCCAAGCTTCCGGCGGCTCGCCGAAAACCGTCCCCTTCTGTCGGGAAGGGCTAGCACTCGACTGACACTCCGGGGACGCCGAGTGCCTCGGACTCGGTGTCTCAGTGCCTCGGACTCGGTGTCTCACTGGCTCGGCCTGCCTCAGAGCGAGACAAGAGGCTCGGCTCACCGATATAGCGTGAAAACCAGCACCGGCGCTCGGTCCAGTTCGCACAGTCCCCTCTGAATAGCGGTATCCACGCGTTGCTCACTCGACACTCCTGAGTCCATCCACAGGACACGGCTCCAAAGGTCGGGGACCTCTGGCTGTCGCTGTCTCAGCGAGCACCACTCGGCGACCACACCAGGGCACGCGGCGTACGGCCGTCTCCGCGTCGTCTGCCCGGCCCGACTGAAGTGAGAAGCTCGCTCGGCCACCGTCGGACCGCGGGCGGTCCGGCTGACACAGTTCGACACGGGCCGGCCCAGTTTGCGCCGGCGGCCGCCGCGCGGCGCCACCGTCGGCCTCCTCGGCTCCTGGCCGGCTCTGAGGACGGCTCCGAGTCGACCCATGACACGCGCCGGGCCGGCCGGCTGGCCCACATTCGGCGCTGGGCCGCGCCGGCGAGCTGTGGGCAGTCGGAGCGGCCCGGCCTGGTCACGGTCAGCAGGTCACCAGCCGACCCGGAATCGGAGAACGGCGCGGCGGCGCCCGGCCGCTCTCCGCCGCTGCAGCCCGAGCTTCAGCATTGTCATCGCAGCGATAGGATGGTCCCGCGGCGGACACTGGAGCCGCCCCACTTCTCCCGGTCTGTCGAGCCGCCAGCGCGCCCATCAATGCCATCGGAATGCCCGTCCGAGAGTGACCTGTCAGCCGCGGTTTGACGGTGGCCTCCACCGGCGACCCGGATAGATGGGGCCGATCGCTGTCATAGACTCCCACCGCGCTTTTATTGAGCCGTGGGATGACGGCGGCTGACGCTGCCGAATGGAGAACGCTGGCGGAAATGTGCAGGTGCGGGTCACACGGTGACTGAGTGTGGCTGTTTGCGTAGTGAGTCGACAGCGTTCGATGGTTGGTGAAAATATGTCGGCGTGCTACTCCCAGTCGGCAGTGCACGCGCTCATGCATTGCTAACAGGGTCACCGCCACAGAGCACGACGGGGCTCCCAAGCAGCTAGACGGAAGATTTGCTCACCTATACTCGTAGTATAACTGGTGTTAGCAGTAGAGGGTCAAAACTCTCAACTGGCGCCGGGACGGGAGGTGTTTAAATACCCACCGCTACTGAGTCGTTTTGATGAATACTGTTTTTCTCTCTCTAAAAAAAGTGTTTTGGCTCAAGAAAGCCACGACTTTGTTTTGGCAACACCGTGACCCTGTCGTCGGGATGCGTCGAATGAACTATACTTTGTCTTTCAATGGTCATTTAGAAAATTTGACCTCAGGTCAAGGTAATTGAGCTAAGGTATTTTCATCGCTCTGGCACGTCTTTATTAACCCGCGCCCCGTAGGGCTACCGGCGGACCCTACCACCCGTAGGGGGGGGGGGGGGCGTTTCGGCCCCCCCTAAGATCTCGGAAAGTTACCGGCCGATTTTCAAAATTCAAACGGCGTTCGATAGCCCCACCCGGGAACTACCTTGTGACCAAATTCATTGACCTAGGTCAAACCGATGACGTCACAGGTCAGGTCAAAGGTCAGATTTTCACCGTTCACAGGCAATTCAAGAAATGTGCTGTGAAAGCGAGTAAATTGGTAATTTATTGAAAACCATCGATGGTACATTGTTCGTCAAACACATACTTTGCTATCTGAGGTCACTGATACCAGGTCAGGTCACAGCGAGGTCAGGTCACCGGGGTCACAATATGAATGTGTCGTGTGATACATGTTTTATGGTCCATTCTACATGACAAATGCGATTATGTGGGATAGGCAGCCTTTGGGGCCAGCCTAGGTCACGTTTTTGTGAAGGTCAGGTCAAGGTCAGGTCAAATTAGGTCAAATTTCAAAGTTTATATTTTTGCATAAAATGGGTATCGATTCGATGCAGCTCGTCACGGGGAGTCTAATGGTGGTCTTCGTTTTGCTCTACGAGTTCTAGAACTGCCAAAAATTGAGTTTGAAAATTTGACGTCATCATTTTTGAACAGTTTTTTTCGCTATAACTTGGCCAAAAAACGAGGTATCGATCTGAAATTTGGTATGTAGATAGAAGACGGTAGGCACTATCACATATATTCCGGTTTTTCGAAACTCAAAAACTTTTTGGATTTTTTGGCGAATATATAAAAAAAAAATGCTTTTTTGATTTTTGGGGGTCAAAACTCAAAAATTTCAAAAATTCGAGATAACAGTTTTGTAGCCCTGTCAATTCTACACCTTTTATGTCTCGATCATTTTTCTGTATCTTCAAAGCTGTAGTCCTGACAGGTCTTCTCGCGAAGGTCTTTTTTCGGTCGAAAATGACAGAACATGACGTCACTCTGACGTCATTTGTGGCCAACCTATCATAGCCTCTGGAAAAAATTTTTGGTCACAATGTGTAAAATTGATGCCCGGAGGGGTCCTGAAAGTTTGGTGGCGATATCTCCAGCCGTTTAGGAGATATCGACCGAAAAGGACAGGGGGGGGGGGGGGCCGTTTCGGCCCCCCCTACGGGGCGCGGGTTAACCCGCGCCCTGATGGGGTCTGTCGAGCAACGCGGTCTGATGGGGGAGGGGGGCATTTTAGCCCTCCCCCTAAGATCTCGAGAACCACGTAACATAGCGACAAGCGGCAAACGGCCTTGGATAATGGATAGCCCTGTTCGTTGGATAGTTCCAACAGGGCTATCCAACCGGGCCACCTTTTGACCCAATTTCATTGACCTAGGTCAAACCGATGACGTCACAGGTCAGGTCAAAGGTCGGATTTTCACCGCTCACAGGCATTTCAAGAAATGCGTTGTTAAATCGAGTAAAATGCATTTCATTGAAAATCATCGATAGGGAAATGTTCGTCAAGCAAATATTTTGCTTGTTGAGGTCACTGATACCAGGTCAGGTCACAGAGGTCAGGTCACTGAGGGTCACAATATGAAAATATCATGTGATACATGTTTTATGGCTCATTTTATATGTCAAATGCGATTATGTGGGTCATGCAGCCTTTGGGGTCAGTTTAGATTATGTTCTGGTGAAGGTCAGATCAAGGTCAGGTCAAATTAGGTCAAATTTAATAGCTATTTTTGCATAAAATGGGTATCGATTCGATGCAGCTCGTCACGGGGAGTTCAATGGTGGTCTTTGTTTTGCGCTACGTGGTGTAGAATCGCTAAAAATTGACTTAAATATTGACGTCATCAATTTTGAACAGTTTTTCGCTATAACTTGGCCAAAAAAGGAGGTCTGTAATTTGGTATGTGTATAGGAGAGCGAAGGGACACATATATTCTGTTTTTCGGAATTCGGAAAAAATTGGGATTTTTTTTGCTTTTTTCTAAAAAAAATATATATTTTTTATTTTTAAGGGATAAAATTTAAAAATTTTGAAAATCCAAGATAGCAGTTTTGTAGCGCCGCTTTTTGTCTATATTACCATATAAACAGGCATCGGTAGGATTGTGATTGCAGGATTGCAAAATCCTGATTGCATTCCTTTTTGGTGGATTGCACCTGGATTTGAAATCCATTCCAAAAAACAGGATTTGATTGCGGATTGGATTGCATCATATTTCCAATTTTTGCAATCCAATCCGGATTGTGTTTGATAAGTGCTTTGAAATGGTTAGTTGCGATTGAAAATTATGAGATCGGCTTCATCGGCTTAATGTACTTTGCTATCAAGGGCTTTACATCGAAACTTGAAATAATTTAAAGGCTTTTAATCTAAACGCTCAAAATAATATACGCTGATGAACTACATAGGAAGGGCAAAATTACGTATTTGAGGGCGAGTTAAAAAAAAAAAATATAAAACACTGGTTGGGTAGAGGTTTAAATGTGGGGGTGTTTGACGCAAAAATATTTCCCATAAAATACCTGTGCCTTAGATAGGAATTACTCGCAAGACTAGGTACTAGAAATGGGTGATTTGGGGATGGAGGCACGGCCATATGCCCCCCCCCCTCCCTCCCTAGACTAGGTACTAGAAATGGGTGATTTGGGGATGGAGGCACGGCCATATGCCACCCTCCCTCCCCCAGATCCACTAGTGCACATAATGATACAACAGGATTGCAAAAAAGGATTGCGGATTTGATCACAATCCAAGTGAAAAAAGGGGATTGCGGGTAGGAATGCAATCCACTTCGGCACAAGGAATGTGGATTGGGAATGCAATCCTTTCAAAAAGGATTTTCCCGATGCCTGCATATAAAGAACTTTGAAATTGCGTTTCAATATTTCATCTTTTTTGCTAATTTTTGCTCAAACGTGACCTCAGTTTGACCTTAATAACTCCTGACCTAAGGTGACCTAAGAATTGAAATTTTGTGTGAAAGTGTCAAATTGATGCCCGGGAAGGTACTGAAAATTTGGCGGCGCTGCGCGCCCCCGTTGTTTTGCTATTCAGGAAAAACTACAGAGGGGGGGGGCCAAGTTGGCTCCCCAGCGGAGCGAGGGTTAACCTTCCAGGCGGTGGGGGAGGGGCATTTTTTTGCCCCCCCCCCCTTTAGTTTTTTCAATATATCTCAAAAACCGCTGCGCCGATCGTCACCAAACTTTCAGTACCCTCCCGGGAGCAGCTAGCGCACATGGTGACCAAATTTTTTTTCAAAGGCTATGATAGGTTGGCCGCTAATGACGTCAGAGTGACGTCATTTTTGCCATTTTCGACCCCAAAAAAGGTTTCGCGGGAAGAGCTGTCATGCCTACAGCTTTAGAGATACAGAAAAAATGTTTCAAACATAAAAGATGTGGAATCAAGAGGGCTACAAAACTGCTGTTTCGGTTTTACGATTTTTTTTTTATTTTGACCCCAAAAAAATAAAAAAAATAGATTTTTTGAATATAATAGCCAAAAAATCCAAAAAGTATTTTGAATTTCGAAAAAAACGGAATATATGTGATAGTCCCTACCGCCTTCTATCGACATACCGAATTTGAGATCGATACCTCTTTTTTGCCCCAAGTTATAGCGAAAAAAACTGTTCAAAATTGATGACGTCAAATTTTCAAGCTCAATTTTTAGCAATTCTAGACCTCGTAGCGCAAAACAAAGACCACCATTAGACTCCCCGTGACGAGCTGCATCGTATCCATACCCATTTTATGCAAAAATATATTTACTTTGAAATTTGATCTTTTTTTACCTGACCTTGACCTGACCTCCACCAGAAAGTGACCTAAACCGTACCAGATGGTCTTATAACCAACACCATTGGGTTGGAAATGAAAAACTGGCCATAAAACATGCATCGCATAACCTTAGTAAAGTTGGGCTCATATGGTGACCCTTGGTGACCTTTGGTGACCTGACCTGTGACC